AAAAAAAAAAAAAAAAAAATCTTTGCTCAAAAACTATTTTTTCAATTATGGTTCTTGATTTTTCCTCCTCCTTTTGGTATTCAGGTTGCATATATTGCGAAAATTTAAAAATTAAGGGCATGTTCTCTTTTACCATTTTCAAATCATTTTCTATTTTCGATTTTTCAAAACAATGAAAACGCATTTTCTTTCTTATTTTCGAAAACGCGTTTTTGAAAACAAGTTAAAAATTTACAAAGAAAACTCAAAACGACAAATTTGTCGTTTTGGATGTTTTCAGTTATAATCAAATCAAAATTTTCAAAATGCGTTTTGGGTGTTTTCAAAATGTCAAAAAGAACGCATTTTCAACAATCTCAAAATTGACACTCAAAACACAAAATTCAAAATGAATTCAAAACTCAAAACACAAAATTGAAACAAAAAAGAACTACCGCTAAGCCTTTAAATTTCAATAGTTGAAAATGGCTTCACACGGAAACTAGCTCATTACTCTTGAGAAAGAGGATAAACTTCCAAAAGTTCACTTGGTTGGGCAGACATGGAACCCTGAAATAGCTTGCAATGTTCTAAAAATGGTTAAATTCATCAATAGCTACTCAACTTTATGTTTAGTATCATCATCCAATTTGATTCATGGTCATTCAATTTGATTTTATTTTACCATGGTCACCACTTAATGTCACCATAGTCACCCAATTTCATCATGTCCATCTAATTTTATATAACATTTCATCATGACCACCAAATTTCTTTCCATCATTTTCACTAATTTTAAAATGAGTAAAACGGTAACTTTGTATTATATATATATGTGTGTGTGTGTGTGTGTGTGTGTGTGTGAGAGTGTGTGTGTGGAAAAAATAATTTTAGAATTTTAAAAACGTTTATTTTAAAACAAGTTTTTATTTTATTTTATTTTAAAAACTTTTTTAAATAAGTTTTTATTTTAGTTTTTTAAGGAACTTGTTTTAAATAACTTTTTATTTTATTTTCCTAAGTAATTTTTTTTAAATAAGTTTTTATTTTATTTTATTTGTTTAAGTAACTTTTTTTAAAATAAGTTTTTATTTAATTTTTATATATAATGCAAAATTACCGTTTTACCCCTTTCAAAATTCATGAAAATTGTGAAAAGAAATTGGGTAATCATTGTGAAATGTTATATGAAATTGAATTGATATAGTGAAACTTTATATGAAATTGGATAGTCATGATGAAATAAAATTAAATTGAGTGACCATGGTAACGCTAAGTATAAAATTTGATTACTATGGTGAAACAAAATCAAATTGGGTGGTCATAGTGACACCAAGTATAAAATTGGGTTGTCATTGATGAATTTAACCCCTCTAAAAATGATAAATGAGTCACTCGAGAGACGGTAGAAGTAGGCGTATGAGATGGAGAAAATTTCCTTGACGGTTGGTGGTGACGAAATCAAGGACTTTGCCCTTGGTTACACCGAAAAGGTGGGGTGGATGTGTATTTTTTATTTCTTTATTCTTTTTATTGTTTTTGTATTTTTTTTTTCTTTTGTATTTTTTACTTACTTTAAATCTTACAAGATGATACGATCATTTTACTCTACACTTCATCTTTCAATAGTCAAATGTTGGTCACCGTCACAAAAGGATCGCAAATGTAGATGTTTGAATTTGAGATCCTAGTGCTAGAAATCAAAAGTTCGAGACCCATCAATAAAACTTTAAAAAGTTCAAGTACTCTATTCAATTTAACTTAATCTAAATCTTAAAACGTGTTATTATACATTAATTTTTTTAACTTAAATTTATATTTACCTATGTCGTTCCCTAAACGGTATTACACATTACCTTTTTGCGATTTCTAATTAGATATTTGAACAATATTCGTTGTGCAAGACTACTATGCAACAACACTAAAAGGTTGGGTGTCAAAATATCTCTATTTAAAGATTGGGAACCAATTTAATATAAAGTTACAAGTTTGGAACTGCTTTTACAATTTTCTTGTCTATTTTAATTAATAAATAAATGAGTGCTCAATAAAAGGAGGCGAGGACAATCTCACTTGCATTCACCAAAGGGAGATTGTGCCCTGTTTGACCCACCTTCTTTAAAATTTATTTCTTTTCAAATTCATATCCAATCACATTATATGGGATTCACAATTTTTATTAACCTTGCCATTCTCATATTTCATCAACTTTTATCAAAATTTACTAAAAATTAAATTTCAGTAAAATTAATTTTTAACAAAACCCAACAAGTAATATGTTACAAAGAACGTAGCACGATATATTTGTGACTTTTGATGTAATGTTATATTTTCCAATAAAATGACTATTTTTAAATGAAATTATCAAAAATATATACAATTTTCATAAAAGGAAATATTGGAGATGGTCACTACAAGATGTCCTTTTTAATAAATAATTTTTTTTTTTTTGTTGGTAGAGATTGCAATTTGTTACAGCTGCATGCCTAATGCCAACTCAAAATTTGTCATGATGTAGGAGTCTAAATAATAAATATTAATAATTAAGATGTAATGAAAAGTTTACTTATAAGATAAGACGATTTAATTACTCAATCGTCATTTAACTCGCTGTTCATGCTGTATTACAAATCTATATCGGGTCGGACCAAGCAGGGCATAGCTAACTACGTAAGAGTCGACTCGACATTAGTTGTTTTGTGATGGAGTGATCCAATATATGTAAATTTAGATAAACTTAAAAAGTAATTATTCTTTTATTGTGGAAATAATAATCTGAATGGGAACAATGAGAATTAGTACATATATATGTAAAAAATATGTGATGTATGTACATGGTTTCATATGCATGCATATACATGATCATGCACATGCATTATGCATCTGTGAGCTCGCAAAGAACAGGACACCTGGCATTAGTCACGTGCCCCGAGATTGACAGAAGGGCCGTTAAATATTATAATGGTATTTACATCATTGGTCTCCCAACCTAATGCCGTAATAGCAATTTGATCTCTAACCTTTCAATGTGAGCATATTGATCCTCAAATATCGTTATAATTGCAATGTAGCTCTCACATACGATATTATCCAAATATTTGTAGAATTTTCATTTAATCCTAATAAAGAAAATGTCCCACTTGTCCATATAATCCAACTTCAAGTTCACATTAATGAAGAACATGAGCAATTCCATAATATTAGATATAGGAATTGATCAATTAGGAGTCATTTCTGTTTGAGCCTTCTTTTAATATGGCACTCAGGCCCTGTTTGACAATCATTCTCATTTTTTTCTCTTTCTTCATTTCAATCATATATTCTCAAAATAAAATAATATTACACACAAATTTAAAATTTTTCATTACTTTTCAACCACATATTCTTTCATCAATCATTATTCCAAAATTCATTTTTTTCTCAAAATGAGTATCAAACACAAGCTCAATCTTTATTATGTTGCGCATAAACCTTTTTTATGCCAATGCACTGAGTTCTAAAAGATTGAAAGCATTTTGTTTTAAATAGTCGATGTCTTAGTGTCTGATATCTTAGTGCATGTTTGGGAAGTGATTATATTCGATTTAAATTATAGATAAATAGAAATGAGTTGTGAACAAGTGTTTAACACTTGTAAATTTCATGAAATGAGTGATAAACAGTATGTTTGATCAATTATGTTTATAAATTATATAAGTACTAAACACGCTATTAGGCTCTAAAAAATGAGTTTCCTTTTGCTTTACTTCTTCACGATTTAACAAATTTTTTGCCTATTGATCATACAACTATAATGAAAGATACAGAATCACTTGCTTTTTAAATTGTTGGGACCTTACTTCTCAAGCAATAAATAAGGGACCATTGGTGCAATTTTTCCTATAAGAACGGCCGTCAAAAGCCAGTTGGACCCAGCCGTTCCAAAGAAGATTCTGTTGTATAGTAATCTGATTTGAGGGTCCACTTGTGTATACTATTTTCCAACATACAATTACGACTTTAGTCAAAACCTTCTTTCGAAGGACAAATTATTAGGAGGCTTCTAAAAGAAAAATTAATACATGCCGACAAGAAGTTTTTGAAAAAGTTAAATTTTTATTTATCTTTTTGATGTAATTTTTTTGAAATAGATTTTATGATCGGAAAATTGGTAAGACGCTTCTCAATCATATGCATGTACAATGGCACCTTGTTGTAATTCAGAGTCGGTCCATTTTTCTAAATACGGCGTTCGTTAAGTCATCAAGGGTGTAAATTGTTTGGAAAGAAAGATATTTGTATCAGATGCATTGAAACACAATTGAGCTTGTAGTTTGCTATGATCACCCAACACAACATTCATCGAACACACGAGAGATATTTTTATAATTAGGTCGTTTCTTTTTTATCTTCATTTATCCATTTTCTTTTCGTATTCACTAGAGCAATTAGGATTTGAAAAACGATACAGCGCAAGTGTTCGGATCTATTAGGACATAGTCGTGAGACACTTAACGGACCAAGTTATCACTACGAACCCCGAGATATTTTTATGACGAGGGATGAACAAAAAATTAGAACTCGGATTCAAAATTCTCTCGACTCATCTCCTCATGTGAACATTTTTTATTTCCTTATTTTGAAATGACCACTTCTGTAAATATCGAATCATGGGAGTTTTTTCATCTACCGCGTCTTCTTGAAGACGACGAAGACCAAAAGATTGTGATATACATGGTAATGTTGTAATTGATAGCGTTTATTTGTGAATTGGAGAGAATGATTCTGATACAATCCCAAGTTTATTGACGAAGACAGTAACTGTCAAGTGAAAATTGGAAAGAAGACTAGACATTGATCAAATTTTAGAACTCGAACATCATAGGAATTTTGCAGCTTCATAGTTTGGACAATAAATCTTCATGCGATCTTATCCCTACATCCGAATGATACATCGAAGGCCTTCGCCTTTCAGCATTAACTCGAAAGCCTTGTTAATCTCGTTAAATGGTACTTCATGAGTAATGAACTTCTCCAATTCAAGTTCCTGCAGACCACAAATATATGAGTCGAAAAAATCCAGATTTGACACCTGCTTGTAGGCAAAAATATTTGCCTTATCTGAGTATAGAGGAATTTAAAGCTTACTTTGTTCATGTACAGTTCTACGACTGATGGAAGATCAGATCGCGGTTTATAGTTTCCGAAGAAGGTGCCCTTAAGAGTCCTTTCGTTCAATAAATTCATCGGATGTGTCTTAAACTCGGCATCTTTATGAGGCACTCCCACAAGAACAGCTACACCCCATCCCTAAAATAAAAGTTTCAAGCTCATCATTCTTAGTCGATATTTAAGGAGTATCCAGGCAAAACTTGAAACTTTGAAAACGAGTTAAAGAACATACATCGTGAACACATTCAAATGCCGAGATCATAGCATTGACGTTTCCGGTACACTCCACACTCCGATCCACTCCTCCATCCGTCATCTCGGCAATAACCTGTAGCAACAGAAAAAGAAAAGTTATAAAAGAATCTGGAGTATGGGCTTTAAGTGAGATAATTAAAATTTAATAGGAATCAACCAACCTCTTGAACTGGTTTTTTATGGTCCTTCGGGTTCACAAATTCAGTCACACCAAATTTCTTTGCTGCATATACATTGGCAACATCAAACTATATAAGTCTGTTTCCTAATAAATTTGGAGTCGGCTAACTAAAAGATCTGTTGCAAGAGATGCATTTCGATTTATGTATAGATAATGTATTGCTGATTTTATAGCTTACCTTCTTCAAATCTGCCAGAGTTCAAATCAACACCAATGATTCTCGAAGCACCAGCCAATCTAGCTCCTTCTGCAGCCTAATTATCATAATAATTTCAATTATTAACAAGATATTTCACAAAAGGAAGCTATAAATCTCTGTGGGATTGAGTTAGTATACTCACACCAAGACCTACGGCTCCCAGCCCAAAGATAGCCACCGACGATCCCTTCTTCGGTTTTGCAACATTCAATGTGGCACCAAGGCCTAATGTAAAGAGCAACGATAAATGAAAAGTTCGAAAATGAACGAAAAAAGTGAATATGAAAGCTATATCTACTCGACAATACAAGTTTCAGGAGAGAGAGAATACAAGTTTTTATCCTCGCACCTCTCTTGCATCTTAAAAAACGTCACCTCAAATTCCTTATATAGGAAGAATATTAGGTCAATATGCATTCAAGGATTTAAGTGTGCATTATGATTAGACTCCACACAGTTCAACACCAAAAATTGATTCAAACTAAACAATGCACCTAAAAGAAACTAAGGCTTTTAATATCAAGAATCGATTATCATTCTTTACCTGTAGAGATTCCACAACTAAGGACACAAACTTTGTCAAGAGGAGCTAGAGGGTTGATCTTGGCAACACAACCAACATGTACCACAGTGTATTCGCTAAAGGTAGACGTCCCAACGAAATGGTAAATCGGTTTGCCATTAATGGAGAATCGAGTTTGGCCATCGTTAATCATCACTCCCCTATCAGTGTTGATCCTGAGGAGGCTGCACATATTGCTTTCTTCTGATTTGCAATGGGCACATTCTTTGCATTCCCCGGTGAATACCGGAAGAACGTGATCTCCCGGTGCCAATTCTGTCACACCCTCTCCAACACTCTCAACAATCCTAAATACCCACAAAATTAAATTTAGTATTTTCATCAACTTAGGCAACAGAAAGTACAACATTGAATCTTGAAACCTAAGCAAGACATACCCTGCAGCTTCATGTCCAAGGATTCGAGGAAAAACAGAGTCTTGTGCCTACAAATTCACGAAAATGTTACCTATTAAAATTTAATCCCTACCGTTGAGAGCAAAAATAATATTAAAAAAGGCACAAAGCAAACAAAAAGATTTACAATGAACTCAAATGAAAAATCGAATTCCAATCTTGAGTTTGTGGGGCATGTTAAAGGTAAATCGCACGTTGAATAAAGATAAGATAAACACATAATCTATTAAGAGTTTGTGCTACTTCATTTAAATGATTGACGTTTTAAAATAAAAGACCCAATAGAAGATTAAAGGGTGATCTCATGCCCCCTCGGGCAGATCCGCAGTCGAATATAACTGACCAGCACGATTAGGCTCCACAATGTCCAATAAAAAACTATAGATTTATGCAATGCTCTATTTTTTTTCTTCTGTAATTCTTCAAAGAACAGAAAAAGAAAAAAAAATGAAGTTGAGATTTAGTTACCTTGGCTTCCCAAAAGTATAAATCAGTGTGGCAGAGTGAAGTGAAGAGGATCTTCAGACGAACCTCCATTTTCTGCGGTGGCGCCACCTCCACCTCTTCCATCACTAGTGGCTTTCCTGCTTCCCACGCCACCGCAGCTTCACCCAAAAAGGGCAAAAAAAAAAAAAAAATTAGCCACTTTTTTTAGATTTTCAATAAGTTGTAGGAAATGTACGTTAAAACTGCAAAAAAAAAAAAAAAAACACAATTTTTTTTATTTTGTACCTTTGCATTTTATGACTTGCCCAACAGTGCTCGACATATCCGAAATTTGTTTCTAGATCTCTGTAAACTGTGTAATCTGAATATATGAAGTTTGATGTGATATATAAAAACCAGCGGGGGCTATTTATAGTATAATTCAAGAGAGTAAAATCATGGGATTAAATTAATTTTTTTTTTTTGTTTGTTAGAAAAAGTTTTCTACTGTTTTGGTTTTGTTGAAACTTTTGTCATCCCACGTTTCGTTCGCTGGGATGGTTGAATATGGAAGCTGGTTTTGGCCGTTTGTTTGTATACGGTTTTACTCCAAAACAAGAGGAAAGTTGGTAGCATCAAATTTGAAATATATTATTTTACTTTGTCGTTCTTTATTTCCACTTTTTTTTCCGCTTTTCTGGTTAGAAAGAATTCTAGATGCTACCGAATTTATATTATAATTTTAGCGCCTGTTTGGCACTCATTATCTCACATTGGACTATGCTTATGTACATTTTTTTTGTACATCAAGTTTGGCACTCCCCTCACATGGGATGGGACCCTCGATTGTGGTTCCCACGCGAGCCCCACTCCCCATGTGAGGGGAATGTTAAAATGAATGTACATCAAGGAGTGTACATTCATCATAACCCTTTAAAATATAAATCCCTTGTTTGGCCTTCATTAATTTTTCAAAAAATTTTCTCTTTCTTAGTTTTAACCACACATTTTTCAAATAAAATAATACTACACAAAAATCTAAAATTTTTTATTATTTTTCAACCACACATTCTCTCATCAATCAGTATTCCAAAATTTATAATTTCTCCAAAATGGGGGACAAACAACTTGATAATGAGAAGAGTAATAATTTACGGAAAATGTGTGGTTAAAAAGAATAATTTTTTAAAAAAATTTACGTGTAATATTATTTTATATTATTTTATAAAAAAATGTGTGGTTGATAAAAAGAAAGGAAAAAAATAATAATTTAATGAGAAATAATGGGCCAAACGAGGGCTTAAGTTTCTTAATCACCGTCTTTTTGTCACTTATTAATTTTAATTTTTACCTAATAGAATTACTAATTCAATATTATTAGCGAGTTGAATAGACTTCCATCAATTTTAATGTCCATATTTTTCTTGTTAGTTCGAAGTAATTTAATGTTATTGATTTAATTGTAATAAAAACTTGTGGAAATTACATTCATACAAAGTTCTTAAGTTTTCAATTCAAAAATAAGATTGAAAGAAATTTTATTCAAAAATTAGATGATAACTATCTTTTAAATATTAATATTATTATTATTATAAAATTATATTTATCTACAAACCCAACCACAAATCCCACCATGTCTATTTCTTACCCAATTTTACATGCAACCCTAATTCATTTCTCTCCATCTTCTCTCTCCATCCCCTTTCTTTACTCGCCCACCATCTTTATTCCGGCGTTGATCTGCACCTCTTGCAGCCATACCGTGCGACCGTCGCGACGGAGCAGAATTGCTGCGCCAACGGTGTTATAAACATGCAATGGAAGTCGCACGACTTGCAGTGGCGTTGCATTTGTGGATCGCAGTCTATTGTGGACTTGATAAGGCGGTGGTAGTGATGCAATGGTGACGGTGGCAACAACATGTTTGGGGATTTTTGGGTGGGCATGGTTGTTGTGATGTGAAGGAGATGGTGGTTGTGATTTTTGGTACAGAGGTGGTGCTGCTGCTTCAGATGGCTGTGACGTTAATTGTAAGATGGTGGTGGAGGCGATGGTGATGGAGGCGATGGCGGTTTTGTAGTTGAAAATGATGGTTTATTGGTGGTGGGGCGGTGGTGGTTTTGAAGTTGAAAATGGTAGTTAGTTGGAGGTAGTGCCGACGATGGTGCAGGGACGGTGGTGTTGCTGGGAGGTTGTGGCGACGATGTTGGTGATTGTGCGACTAGAGACAATGGTGGGGTGGTGGTCACAAATTATTTGATTGATTGTGACCAATAAATAGATAAATTGTGACAAGTAAATAATATGTGATCTAAAAATTTGTTGATTTGTGACCAAAAATTTGATAATTTTTTACAGTGTAAAAAATTGTGACTTATAAAATTTGTGTTTTGTGATCGATAAATAAATCGTGACCTATGATTTTTTTATTTGTGAGTGATAAACAAATTGTGATCGATGAAAGTTTTAATCGTAACCGTGAAATAATTTGGTAAATTTTTTTATTCGTGATCGAAAAATAATTTGTGACCAATTAATTTGATAATCGTGAGCAAAATGTATAGAAGTGTAACCTTAATATATTTAATTTATAAAATATATTTTAATTAATTATTTCATAAATAAAATTTAATCAATATCTGATTTTTGAAATTTTAAACTTTGTATCTTAGAGGCTGTCTGGCAATGCTTATAAGCATTTTAACGACCGTTAACAACATTTCCAAGGACAAAACTTACAGAAATTGTGCATATTGAAATTCAGCTTTTGGCCAGCCAATTTTCACATTTGCCCTCCTCACAGAAATTTTCACGTAATATGGTTTGAAAAATCAAAGAAGGTTGGCAAGGACAAATTGGTAAAAGTGCACTCAATTTATTCTGACAGCGCCAGTCCAACGGTTATTTTTTTAATTCCATTAACGGTAGGAAATTGAATTTAAAGCATGTCCAGACAAGCTCTTAATTTTAAAATTAGTAATACTTAATCTCTCACATCTGAAATTTTCCTTAAAAAACTTATTGAGCTATGTGGCTTGGCTTGACCGACTATCCTTGTCTGACTTATTTTTTCTATGGCCCCACCTGTCAAATTTGAACATCGAGCATTTAAAGGTAATTTGAGACGAATTCCTGTCCTTGTCCATGCACAATGAACAAAAGAAATTGCAAATGGATGCCTTCAATCAAGAAAGAGATGATCCCCATGTTTTCTACTTTCTTTTGAAATATCTTAACAAACATGTTAACCCCTAGCCGAAATTACGGGTCATCTCTGGCATGTGGATGGAATATGTTGAATTTTTGTTCATATAATTTCGACTTATGCAAGATCAACAAAATAAAATACTATTGCATACCTTAATCAAGAAAGAAACGGCCCCTCGAGATTTGACAAGTTTTAAATCATTTCTCTACTTTAGTAAAAAAAAAATCTTAATCCTTCCAATTTTTTGTTCGGACGATTTCACCCCATTTAACATTATTTCGTCAACTCTTATCCCCGGTCAATGCTTGAATATCAAACAAAAAAATTACCATCAGAGTCATTAATCAAGAACAAGGGGTTGTCCCTCAAGATTTGACAAATTTTTGACAATGTCTTTTGCTTGAAATATCTTAATCTCCCACCCCCCCACCCCCACCCCCACCCCCACCCCTAAAGTCTCGACAATACCACCCATCAAAATCCCTTGTGCTTTAGTGGTTTTCATCTTTTTCTTTTTTCAAATAAAATGTTTGATGGTTTTGATCTTTTTTCCAAAGCTTTGTCCTAATCTTCTTGTTTTCTTAGCACGTGTCACAAACATCATCATTGGACTCTTTTAATAAAAAAAAATCAAAAAACAAAAGCACATTCAAGATGAGAACTATCCATTTAAAAATCAAAACTGTTTTTACCTTATCTTTTACTAATGTATTCAATTTTTCGTTAAATATATTTTTTGAAAAATCTTATATTCTTATTAACTTGCATAATTGTATTTAAAGCATGTTTGGCAAACCTTTTAAGCACTTGCTTCTTGACTTATTTTGACGCAAATCATCTTCGGGTACACTACATTGATGCAATATAAGATTTGGTTAATCAATTTATACATAATGATTTGTACATAATGGATTACCCCATCTCACATAATGTGCAGAGCTCGCGTGTATTTCAAAATTTCGACAATGTGGTCCTCATCCCCATCGTGAGTAATAGGTAAAAGATTTGGTAAAAAAATTCGGTACATGTAGTATGATCCATAAGATTTTAAAGTGATATTTCTTTTCCGATGACATCCAATGCTGATTACCAACATGCCCTTGTAGTACTATAGCTATTGAAAGAGACGGAAAATAAACCAAAACAAGCAATGGAGGAAGCATTTGTTATTATTATGCTAAAAGCCTAAAATATCAAAATACCAAGTGCTTAGAGGAGCCTTCAACTCGATCTTCATATATTTTACAATCCTCTTGAAAATTTATTCATCGCAACCATTACGCAGGATAAACTAATAAAACCGCGGTGTGGGTATACTTTTTATTCTCCATAGGATATCGCTTCCATCCTCAGAATAAGCTAACAAAATCATCGTGTAGCTATTGTTTTAGTTCTCCATATGGATAATGCAACGCAGACCCTGGCCTCCCAGCATCAAGTCGAAAGCCTTGTTGATTTCCGAGAAAGAAACTTGGTGAGTGATGAACTTGTCCAGCTCCAGCTCCTGAGATATTGGCAGAACACTAAATCGTGACATTATGAAGAAAAAACAATACATGTAAGCGTAAATGTGCAAGTATTATTGCGAACTTAGTTATGAAACTATAAATGTAGTTGCAGGGAAATCAATTTCTTGAAGGGAAAATAATGGCATTAAAGGCAAAAATGTGCAAGTAATGTGAGCGCAGAAGAACTAAATTTGTCGAAGGGAAAGGTTTACCTTGTTCATATACTTTTCAACAACAGACGGGATGTCACTACGGGGCTTATAGTTGCCAAAGAAGGTTCCCTTGAGAGTTCTCTCATTCAAAAGATTGATGGGATGAGTTTTGAATGCATCATCTTTGTTTGGGACACCAACTAGAACAGCTACTCCCCAACCCTGTCAGAGCATCGCGATGCTTGATTATCACGACAAATGTGTAGAAGTATGGATATGATTACAGTCAATGGGGTATAAAGATAGCAAGGTAGTTACATCATGAACGCATTCAAATGCAGAGATCATAAGATTAACATTTCCCGTGCACTCGAGACTACGGTCCACTCCTCCATCAGTCATCTCAGCTATGACCTGATGACAAAACAGACATGGTATTGGTATGGTATTGGACAGTGTTTTCAGTACAATAAACTTTTTTATCTTTTAATCTTATATAGTGCAGTCGAGTCTAACATACCAAACATTCTATTAGTGTATTGCTGAGAATAATTATCCGGTTTCAATTTCCACGTAAGCTAATGGGCCATCAAGGAGATGGGGGTCGATGTGTAAATCTACATGATTTAGCGGACAAAACAGTTTATATGGTGGAGTACAACATTATGGCGTTAACCTGTTGGACAGGCTTGTCATAATCTTTCGGGTTCACAAACTCAGTCACGCCAAATTTCTTTGCTGTCGAAAAGAATAGCCGAAAACAGATGGTCAATCATTGAAGACCAGCCATCAAACAATTAGTTGTTAGTATCCAGTAAATTCACTTACCTTCATTGAATCTATTAGCATTCAAATCAACACCAATTATCCGTGAAGCCCCAGAAATCCGAGCCCCTTCAGCAGCCTAACCAGTAGGTAAGAAGTTGCATAATCAGAGGTTGTCAGCTGATTAAAATCACGAGATGCAAGATAATGACAAAACAAAACAATGAAGATCTACTCACGGCAAGGCCAACAGCTCCCAATCCAAAAATAGCTACAGTCGAACCCTTCGTTGGTTTGGCAACGTTTAGAGTTGCACCAAGTCCTTCAAGCACAAACACTAATGAGACAACAGAAATTAACATAAAGGATGATTATATGCTCATGTTTGAGCCCCATTCTCAAAAAGTTCATTTTTTTCTTAAACAAATTTTCAACCATACATTCTTCAAATAAAATAGCTGATAGCATGAAATAATTAAAATATTACTTCAATTGAAATTTGCAGCCGAGGTCCCAAAACTTTTATAAATTTATCATGAGTACCTGCCATTTAGGTCACACGCTTTCATTTCCGGTGCATATTGGTCCATATTGAATGAAAACTTCCCATTTTTGTGTCGTGATAACTTATTCGAGGATTATTTCATTATTTCAACCACCCACCAGGGCCACCATAATAGATAGGACACCCTCCTTCAAAAAACAAGATATAGCCCCCGTTTGAGCCACATTAAAATTTTCATTCTCATTCTTCTACTCATTTTCAACCACACATTCTTCAATAAAATAACATTTTCCATCACATCAATACATTTTCCTTCTTTTTCAACCACACATTCTCTATCAATCTACTATTCCAAAATACATTCTTCCAAAATAATGTGGCTCAAACACACCCATAATATTGTTAGACATGATGATATATCTGTTTTTTCTGAGGAAGTAGGTCCATAATGGTGGTTGAATTAAACCCCCAAGTAAGTCATCACGTGCAGAACAAGTGAATTTGATGAAAAGAAATTATGGTTTCCATCTGTTGGGGACCAACACACATCGGAAATGAATGTCGGGAACCTAAAGGACAAAAAAAACTTGATTGGCAACCATGTATTTATTTGCCTTAAATCAATTCTTTCCATCCAACCTGTGGCTATCCCGCAACTAAGAAGACAAACTTTGTCAAGTGGTGCCGCTGGATTAATCTTGGCAACGCAGCCGACATGAGTAACAGTGTACTCGCTAAACGTGGAGGTTCCGAGAAAGTGATATATTGGTTGCCCATTTTTAGAAAACCTCGTCTTGCCATCACTGATCATGACCCCCCGGTCGGTATTTATCCTAAGAAGGCTGCACATGTTGCTTTCTGAAGATTTACAATGATGGCACTCCTTGCACTCGCCAGTGAACACGGGAAGAACATGATCTCCGGGTTGGAGATCTGTCACACCTTCACCCACACTCTCTACAATACTATATAAAAGAAATAAAGCAAATGAAGATTTGTTCAGACAAATAACAATGACAACCATTAGCATAAACAAAAATTTGAACATTCCCATCTCATTGCAGACATACCCTCCAGCTTCATGACCGTAAATGCGAGGGAAAAGCGCTGTCTGCCCCTGAAATGAAGATATTGAATTTCGTAATACACAGAGAAAATTTGAAACGATAAAAAAGTAACGAAAAAACTTACAATATCTCAATGCGTCTAGACATGTAAAGACAATCATCTAAATCAATTAGAAGAAGGACTTGCCGTTCACATTAACACACGAACAAACACTCATGTATGTTAAATAAAAGGCGAAGGAAAAATTTAGAAATTAATCATGTTAAGGAAGATTTTTTTCACACTTATTTTAGAACACCAACTCCAAATTTACTCACGATAACAAAAAATGCCTTATCCACAATAAATTCGGGCCAGCTACATAAAACATTTTTCACCGCTAGTATACTAACATGTTCTACTAAGATAGTCCCGCACGACAATCTCTTTAGGTCCATGCAAGTCCAAGGCATGTCCTGGACACTAGTCATTCTTTTTTAATTTATTCTCAATCTCCAAATTTACAACTTTCATTTATAAAGCCAAGATCTTCTAAAAGTGGTCGAACTCCATATCTTTTTATTGGGATTTGGGAATAGGATTAAATTCTTTACCTTGGCCTCCCAGAAGCAGACATCAGTGTGGCAAAGGGAGGTGAACAGGATCTTCAAGCGAACTTCCATTTTCTGTGGTGGTTCAACCTCCACTTCTTCAATCACCAATGGCTTCCCTGCTTCCCATGCTACGGCGGCTACACAAAAAATATACACACTTACAATTAATAAGGCTTAACCCCTATATATGCAACACAAATTCTCTTAGTCTTACGAGTTTGTGTCTCATTTACCAACAGTTTATAGCTTCCAAAACTGCTTATTTTCCCTCTGGATGTTGACTAATTTTAAAGATACGATTTTCAGATAGAATCGATAAAATAATAAATAAAAAAACATTTTAAGCATAACCATTAATTAAAAAATTAAATAAAAATTCTCCACTCAAGATCAGGAATGATCAGATGAACCCATATCAAAATAATCAGAAAAACCACAAAAAATTAATTAAAATAAGCGATTAAAGCAGATAAACCCATTTCAAAATAATCAGAAAACCCCACAAAAAGTGATCATGAAGAAGAAATCACCTTTGCATCTAATAACTTGACCAGCAGTTGCAGACATTTCTGCCTCTTTCTCCTAGTGATTAATGAGTGTGCTTTAATGTTGATTGTTTTGTTGATAAGTATATATAATTCTTGAATGAGAGAATCCAGCGATTGTGGGACACTTGGAAAGAATCCACTGCAGGAATTTTCTATATGTACTAGAAAACCACTCTCTGTAAGCACATAGATTGACATATTCATTTGCACAAGTCGGAGAATGTCATTTTCTTGGGAGTCCATACTGTACAGCATTTGTCTCTTTGCTACGTCACTTGTGCATTCTACCTTAGATTAAAGAAGAATTTTAATTGGAACCCAGCTGCTACGAGTATAGGAATTTTTCACAGAAATTTAAAGGGAAATGATTGAAAGATTGGAGGAGAGAAAATTCTCGCACGAACATGATTGAACCATTTCAAATTTCTGTCAAAAATTCTTGTACTGGAGGAATTTTTCTTTTAGTTGTTTGATATATGTGTCTTGCACTCAAATAATCAGCGTCGACCGTGATTATAAATGGGATAGGCGATTTCCTAAGATCCCACAAGTGACTCCAAATTTTTTTTTTACTATATATTTCATGGAAAAAACTAAGGCAATTAACCAAGCCAACTCCACTGTTGAATTAGTAAACATAATAATATTTTATCAAAATGTAAGGTTAGCGATTTCGTTCGATTTTTATTTTATGGAAGTATTAAAAGTTTATTTGATTGCATTTGTATATTAGGCATTGAGAAAAATTATATAGTACTTTTGTTCTTGGTGATAAAGAAATATTTTCCTCCCTCCTCATTGTGTCGAGAAGTGAAAGAGGCGTAAGAAAGACAGAGAGCCTCAAGCCCCATTGCATCAATTTATATATCTTCCTATTTTTTGGGCTTATTCTTATACCAGAGCTCAATAACATCAAGTGCACCGCTAGCAACAGCTATATATGCTGACTTCTTTCTTCCACTTTTTTCAGTTTAAATCTCTCATTCTTATTGTTTTGCAGTTGAAAGAAAATATTTGTCTACTTGAGTCGAAATCTCGGACCAAGTTCTATTGTTCCTCAACTAATTGAAAGTTTAATCTTGTATTAGTTTTGAATTGTGGATTGCTTAATATGTTTACTAGAAAATATTTCTCTGTACATTAAAAAATGAAGAAGATGGAGAAGAAAAATAGAAGAGTTTATTCAATCTCAAGTAGCAGTTGTGAACAAGGTTCCTGATGGTGATAATAACAGAAACAAAATTTCAATTAAAGATATGGTTGATGAAGAATTTCGAAAAAAAATATTCAAAGTGACGATAATCTATAGTATATTATGAGAAATTTTAATGAGTGTTTAAATTCATATATTAACAAATAATTTTTATGTATCAAATGTAGTACAAAAATGTTGCTCAAAAAAAAAAATTTGAATTATAGAAGTTGAGTATTGAGAGTACAATTTTCTTCTCTTAAATTTATATCCTAATTTTTATTTTCTTTAGTTTGTTTGAGACTCGTTAAATCCTTCCAACAAATTGGTATCAAATATTACTTTTACAGCACTTATTAAGAAATTTTAAAATAATGTGCAATGAACGTTTAATTCTGACTAGTATGAATAAAGATCATGGTAATTTAGTGGATCATAAGAAAGATGATTTGGAGGATGAAGAAAATATAAATGCAAGACATGAAGATGTACATTGCATTTAGATATTAGTGATTCAGGAAATTGGAAAAATATTGATCAAAATTTCTTGACTTGATAGTGAAAAGAGATCCCCTAGGAAGAACTTTTTACGTTTCCTAAAGGTTCAGAAAATAGGCATAAGTCCATCGAAAAGAAAATTTAAAACAGATTGATTGTAATAGTATAATTATTGATTTTCTATTAAACAAATTTAGAAAATAAATTTAATTTAGACATTTGAAAATTTTAAATTATTATTTTTGTAACTTTAAATATTTTTATTTATTATTTTACATATTTTAAAATATTTATAGGGATCCCATATTTGAAGTTGGTCTAAATCCCCAAAAATTTTAGGACCCCTATTAAGAATAAATTTAAAGGCACATTGTCGTCTAAATTGATGATCTCTATTAAAGATGAATAACATTATTTTAAATTAAATGAGTCCCAAATCCTAACTTTTAATTCAACCTATCAACACCTATGTGCCATAGACAAGAGCGTTTAACCCAGTAGTGCTTCTTTGAACCAATACATTAATGCCATTTTCTTGAGGGTTTATATCACCGCATATCTTTTGCATTCTACCTCTTTTTCCCTCTATTTTATCTTTAGGAACAATTTTGTGCTACTTTTTCTTGTATAATAAGTGATCGAGCTTAAAAGAATTTTCTATATTTGCCCTCAAAGACGACAAAGAAGCCTTGTTAGGCCAGAGTGACACTTAAATTTAATTTAGGGAATGCAAGTGGGGTCACGGGTCTCCCACCCTGTTGAGGATTTTCAAGAGATGAGGTGGAGATTAAAAATAGAATCATGCTATATGTACATTTTACTTAACATTTTAACACTTGACATCCATCATATTCATTGATTTTTACGATAATTTTTCACATCACTGGCTAAATTTTGACACGTAGGAGGATGTCAAGGAGAATATCAACAAGGAATGTACATATAGCTCAATTCTTAAACATATCCACATGTACAGTCGTATTGACTTATTCATTTGTAGTATATTTTTTAAATATGATTGCAATTGAACAATATGAAAATAAAATAAAATAAAAAATTCAAGACGTAAACCGTGTCCTTCGTCCCTGCCCAATTCCCCAACGAGGCAGAGCAATGCAAGGCGAGGTGGGCACGAGAATATTTTGCCATCCTTACTCTGATTTGGAGAGACTGGTATTATCAGATTTTGTTCTCTAGTACTATAAACTAGTCAAAATAAACTTTTTTTTTCCTCAATTTATTTGAATTTTCAAATAATCAATAAAGAAACATAAAAAAGTTAGAAAGACCATTCGGTCTCGGTGGCCCTGCGGACAACGCTGGGCCGCCTGGCTGTTAGAACCACCATTACACCAGAACCTGCTATTTTGTAACTTAGTACTGCTTTATGTGACTACTGCATGAAGAAATGATTTTACATTTCATAATAAAAGACAAAGATATAAATATTTTTGAGTAGGACCCAGTTACTCTAAATACAAATACAACCTATGGGCAAATTACATTATTTTATTTCATTTTATTCCTCTTGCAAGTACAGATGAGAGGAAAGAATGTCAAATGACACATGTATTTCTATGATGATGCTTGAACCATTGTCGGGATGATGAAGAACGTCGTGGAGGTGGAATGACAAGGGGTTGATTCAGTGACAGACGTGCACGATTCAACAAGAGGTGATGGTGGAGTAATGGTGTATCCGTGTATGCAGGGGGCGGAGAGGTGGGAGAGCATTGGAAGTTTTTACCAGTGAAGGCCATTTCCAGGTACTGAAAGTTCTGATGATTGTGCTGAGTAGTGTTCCCAACAAATTCTGTATCACCTACATGGATGATTTCTTGCCACTCCATTTGGTTCATTGTTAGATTTATAGTGGAAGTTTGCAGTAGGTTCACGATCTCCGTTGTGTAGCATATCATCCTGCTTTTGACAGTCTTGAAGTTTTGATTGCACTGCAAAATGCTCCTCCGCTACCCCAGTTGCGAGGGCGCCTCTAAAAGAAACTGTCTTCATTGTAGAGCAAATAATCTTTTCTGACATCTGCATTCGCAAGTCCAAACTTATATTGTCGAACAAGGTGATTAAGCATAGATTAAAGAGTAATTCAGAGAACTCATGCACGAGTTTCCTTTTATGCCAAAGAAGATCTAATATAGAGGTTATTTTCTTGCTTAGAAGATTGACGGAGAAGTACAAAGAAAAGAAACAAGACTTCTATATGGTGTTCAGATTTTTAAAAAAGAAAAACCGATGATAGGACCCTCGGGGAAGTTGTGGCAAAAGCTAAAGATAAAAGAAATTTCCATTAGATATGTGTCATGACACGTGTAACCTAGTAACCATAGGAGAGAATTTACTATTAATATGGAGTAGTACTAAGGTTGTGCCATGAAGTTTAGCCGTAGTTGAGCATACAAGACTTTTACAAGATGAGGTTCTACGATGTATGTTGTTTGTCGTTCACAGAGTTTAGTTAATAACACTAAGAGGGAATAATTCTAAATTAGAAATTTGGAGAAGCACATTGAAATTTAAGCCACTTATTTATAAACGGTCAAATTACTTTTTATCCACATATTTCATGGAATCCACGAGTGGTACTCATTTATCCACCACTCATTTTTATCAATTTAAATTGATTATATATAACTCTCAAACATGCTTGTAGAACTAAGACATAATGCACGAAAGTCATTTTGGGCCCTTTTGGCAAGACTTTTGAAACGTCAACAACTATTTTTGAGATCAAGAATTTACTTTTGAAACTGTTTGGACAATTTTCTAGAAATGTTTTGTCCGACTAAAAGTGTTTTTTAAAGGAAGCTGGCCTAAGGCACCGGTTTGGCAAGGCTTGTGCCTTTGCCTCTGCTTCTTTATAGAAGAGTTTTTTGAAGAAGCTACCTTATGTCAATTTCCTCCAATAACCCTTCTTAGTTTTAACCAGACAAAGCACTTAGAAAAAATATCCGAACTTATTAAAATTAGTTTTTTAGTCTCAAAAGCAGCTTTTAACTTTTCAAAAAACAGCCAAACGAGCCCAATGTAACTTTCTTAGGAAGCTATACTACAAAAAGCAAAAGCACAAGCCTACCAAACAAGCCCTTAGTCATAGTAGAAGTAAGAAAGATAATGAAGTCACTACAGAGCCTCATGTTGTCCTACAGAGCCACGAGTGCAAGAGATGCAATGCATAATATTAGAGCGTGTAGAATGAAATGGAAAAAAAAAATACTATTAAGGATTCTATGCAATTGGAAGATGCCTATAAAGTTAAAAGGCAAAGTTTTGCATAATTGGTATCAGACTAACTACGGTTTATGGTATCAATGTTGTGTCGGTGGTGGATGAAATACCCGTTAGAGGATTGTTGGAAATGAGGATAATAAAATGGCATATGGTCATACTAAAATTTATGAAGTAGAAAATGCAGTTTTTGCATTAATAAGTAGAGGTGACGCTGGTTTGGGGGGGTGATTCTGAGAGAGAGAGAGAGAGAGAGAGAGATCACATTAATGTAGCCTAATGGCATTTACAAAGGATTTGATTTATTAGATTGTTCAGTAGATGGTATCATGATGTAGCCGACCCAAATTTATTGATATGAAGACTCCTTTGAATGTTGGAATCCATAGAATTGAACATGGTAAACATGATATTTTCAAGGAGCAGAAACAAATTAGAGAAATCATGGCCATTCAATTGAATTAATCATTAAGAATCAATTGGTAAACCAATATGCAGTATATACATGAAGGCAATATAATAGATGAATGAAGCTAAGATATCTGTAACCAAAAAAAAAAAACCATCTATACTCTATCGAGGAGGAATCTGAAGCAAATACCTTCAGTAGCAAGGAGGAATTTTGGCTTGTCTACTGGAGCTTAGACAAAAAGAGATCAGCAATCAAATTTATCATTCTTACTTCTCTGGAACTGTTAACTTACTGACATTCAGGAACCAACGTAGATTCTGAATAATAAATGAAGAACCGATATTTCTCTTCTGGTGTTTCTCCAACAATGTCGAGGAGAGACAAAATTAAGACATCCGAGCTAAATACCATTTCAAGGGCAATCTCTGTAAAAGTATAGCCTATACAAGTTATCTGCAACCCATCATAAAATCTCAGGCTTTGCAAACGCCTCAACACCCTTCCTCCCTCGAACTCCACAATCAAAATAAGTTTGTTTTCCATCATCCCTTCACGACTTCTTGCCCGATAGTTGGAATCTAAAAGAACGGGAGTTTCTGCTCGACAAGCAACATATTTATACTTGAATATATCAAATTATCAATTAATGAAGAGGCTAGTTCAATTTCTGTTAATGCCGAGATCAATTGATAGTCTGGGACAACATATACATATACTCTTGTTCTTCATCCAGCATAGAAGATCCAGATTTAGCAACATAGCCTTTGTCTTTCCTCAATGTAGTTAAATCTTTTCAAGAGTGCGAGTATTTCACCAGAATTAGGAGATTTATGACCTCCAACTATATCCAGGAAACTTTATAACTCCTCTTTCTTGCATTTTTGTCCTCATAGAGTCAACCCCGTCCCAGTTGCCTGATTCTGCATATATATTGGAAAGCAGCACATAAGGAGATGAATTTTGTGGTTCCAACTGAATAAGCTTTTCTGCTGCATACTGCCCTCTTATGTCATCCCCGTGCAATCTACATGCACCAAGATATGTGGACCATATCATAGAATCAGGCTCAAAGTCTAGGTTGACAATGAACTCCTCTGCTTCTTTGAGAAAACCCCAGCGCCCCAAAAGATCAATCATGCAGGCACAGTGATCTACTCGTGGACGAACCCCATAACGATGAATCATATCATTAAATATTTTTTGACCTTCGGATACCATTCCTGCATGATTACATGCAGTAAGAACACCAAGGAATGTGACTTCATCGGGTTTTACATGTGCCTGACTCATCTCTTCAAAGATCTTAAGAGCGTTTTCCGCATAACCATTTTTTGCATATCCAACAATGATTGAGTTCCATGAAATAACGTCTTTCTTGCTAGCCATTTCACCAAAAACGTGTGCTGAACTTCTCACATCCCCACATTTAGCATACATATCTACAAGCGCACTGCCTATCAACTCATCTTCATTATAAGCAGTACGAAAGATTAAAGAGTGCATTTTCCTGCCATCCTCCAAAGAAGCTAACATAGAGCATGCTCTAAGTACACTTGCAAACGTCGCTTGGTCTGGCTTCGCATTATGATGACACATTTCACTATACCAAAATATTGCATTCTCGCAACAGTCGTTTTGAATGCTTCCTGATATCATAGCAGTCCAAATTATTGTGCTTTTTGGATAAGGAAGCTCGGAGAAAAAAACATTTGCATCTGTCATTTTTTGAGCATTCATGTACATGCCCAAAAGAGAGACGGCTATAAATTCATCATGATGTGCAAAGCCGAGCTTTAAAATAGAACAGTGAATTTGCCTTCCGAAATGCAGATTAGTGTCACCAGTGCATGACTCCAAAAGGGTGGCGAAAGTGACTTCTGATGGCCTCAATCCACCAGCCAGCATATCCTGAAATATATTTAAAGCTTCAACTAAGTTTACTTGAGCATAACCAGCAATCAGAGCATTTGTGCATGCCACGCTTCTTTCAGTCATGCAAGAGAACACTTCAGTTGCAGACCCAATTATTCCACACTTGCAATAAAAGTCAATTAGCGAGCCGCCAGCATAAAGAGCTCTTTCTAGACCATATTTAACCAAAAAACAGTGTACTTGTGTACCCTTATTAAGATCTTGTAAATTTGCAGTAGCACTGAGTATGCTAGCTAAAGATACCTCATCAGGTGCAATCCCCTCTGACATCATTCTGCGGAACAGAGAAAAAGCTCCTTCCTCTTCTTCTTCCTGCACATATCCAACAATGATTGCATTCCAAGAAACATGATCTCGACTTTTGATTAGCTCAAATTGCTTCCGTGAGTCGGTCAGAGCCCCGCACTTAGCATACATATCCACTAGAGCATTTCCTACAAATAAGTTCTGTTCAAATTTATTCTTGATTATAACTGAATGTAACTGGGACCCTGTTTCTATATTTCCTAAACAAGCACAAGCGCTCAAAACGCTAGTGTAGGTATATTCATCAGGATGAAATCCGCAGATTCTCATATTCAAAAATAACTCTAGAACCTCACAAGCATATCCATTCTGTGCATAACCTCCAAGTAATGCATTCCATAACACATCATTTTTCTCTCCCATTCCATTAAATACTTCCTTTGACGCTTCCATCTTCTGACATTTGGCATACATACTAATCAAAGAACTTCCCACATAAACATTAGAGTCCAGCCCCAGCTTCACTGCCAAACCATGAACCTGAAAGCCATATTCATAGTTCGCTAAGTACGCAATAGCACTCAGAAGACTTCCTAGTGTGGAACGTGTTGGTTTGAAATCAGCTTTGATCATATTTTGGAAAAGTCCAATAGCTTCCCTCTCATGACCACCCTTGACATGCCCTGATATAAGTACATTCCACGCAACAATGTTTGGATTACGCATTTGAGAAAACAACTGGCGCGCATCATCAAGCCGTCCTAGCCTCACACATGCATTTAAGGTGGTTACAAATGCTACCTGATCCGGCATGTGACCTCCTGTTCTCATCTCCTCAAACACTTCCATTGCCTGCTCAAGCAAACCACCTTGAACATACCCTGAGATCATGGCAGTACAAGAAACTGTGTCGTGGTCGGTAGCCCCATCAAATATCTTCCTAGCATCAACAACGTACCCACATTTCGCGTACATATCGATCAAAGCACCCTCACAAAACGCATCAATTTCAAATCCCATTTTTACCGCCCCACAATGCACTTGCTTCCCAAACTTCAACTCCATCAACTTAGCACAGGCGGATAAAACAATTGCACAACTGAACTGATTCCCCAGCACCCCTCGATTCCACATGGAACCAAAAGCCTCCAGAACACTTTCCAAGAACCCTTTACGCGAATATATGAACATAATCGAATTCCATGCCATTTTATCCCTTTCTTCTAGGCTTAAAAATACCCTTTCCGCATAATCAATGTGGCCACATTTTGAATACAAGTCCAAAATTACATTCCCCAAGTTCCCTTTGGAAGAAATCCCAAGTTTCAAACTCTGTGCATGGACAATTTTGCCTGTCTTTAAAGAAAGACTAAGACTTTTTGGCATTTCGTCAAACATTTGGCGGTACTGAACTTCCTGGCACTTTTGCAAACACATTTTCAACAAAGAATTGTATAAACTCTGTTCTTGTGTTAGAGATTGGTGAATTTGAAGGTCTTTTGCTGGGCTTGTCGAGAAATTGAGTTGGCGATGCAAGAAATTTGAATTTGCAGTAAGCCGTGGGAGTTTGATATGAATTCTGCAACGCATTAGATATGTAATTTGAATGGAAGAATAAGATCTTTTTCATAAGCAATTACTTTTAACCATTTTTCAATCATATGAGGAAAATGTTTACGTATGCCAATGAATTTTAGATAATCAGGATCCCTCCCAAATTTGATTGATTTGATAAATAAATTTGACTGGTTTAGCCCTTCTTTGAGGCCACATCTTGAGCACTTCAACAAACTTTTTATTTTATATTTTTCAAAAAAAAAAATATTTAGCGTATTTCCTCTTTTATTTAATGTATATATTTTTTAATGTCAATTACTAATAAATTCAAAGCTGGTTTAAATAATTTTAAAAACAAAGCTTCGCTGCAACTTATTAAATGCAATCGTTATAAATATTTTCTTGTTGCTATTATCGGCCTTAAATAAAATCCTCCAAATTTAAATTGTACACAAGAAAATGTTCTCAATGGAACACGACATACAAAGTTGATTTTCATTCCTCAACAAGCAAATCAATACACTGTTTTTTGAGATTTTCCCTTTGTCTTTGCTTTCTTATTAACATCACAATGCAGAATGGATGTGTTGCCTTCGGCTCAATGAAACTCAAACAACTTCGACTCGACTTGAAAAGTAGTTTCTGAATACAAATCTGTCAATGTAGCGCGTTTATTCACTCGTCAATGGAAGGACGAGTCGAGTTTGGCAGTCTCCGGCCACGGACGAAATTACTGAACAGATGCAGAGCTCTTGCAGGCTGTGCATAGGGTACCATATGAGCAGCACCTCTAACAGTTGCAAAGGTTAACAAGTTTCCATACTCAGTTTGCCAACCTCCAACCTTATATTCAATAAAATGTGACGATAAGCAATCTTGAACAAGATTTTAGCTTCGTTTTCTTAAAAGAGTGTGTTTTGAACAAGTACCTGTCCTCTGTGAAACCAAGCTCCATATGGGACTGTAATCTTGAAGTGCATATCATGAGCGAGTTCGCGTACAAGTGTCCGTGAACCAATTAATGGCACGACTGAATCTTGATCTCCACTGAAATCGTGAATTTTGATGATTGATAATTCTTTGAAAAAAGTATTGACGCTTGCATTGTTTGAGTGAACATCTCACCTGAAAATCCAAACTGGAATCTGGTTTTGAATGATCCTTTTAAGCAGAGGAAGAATGTCGATGTTGCCATCTGTTTCATTATAATCTAGTACACTGCACATATTAAGAAGATAATTAGTTGATTCATATTTTAAGAAATGCACAAAAGAAGAACTCGGTACACTTTCTTGCCAAGCCAACACCTTCATAACATAATGTTTCGACTTACCCGCTGCACATAGACCAGCTATACCGCAAATTGGTCCGGTTCGCATGAAGAGCCTTCTGAACCTCAGGAAGGTTGAAGTAGAGTTGCCTTTCATAGCTCATGCAAACATCTACTCCGACACTAATCTTCGTAACCTGCAATTGCATATCCCAATAGTCGTCAACTTCTACTTTCATCAAGAGAAAACACCGTAGATTGAATTCGAGATAAAATACCATCTTTCGTAGTCTCAGTTCTTGCTCTACTATAGATGGATAGCACACATCGAGAATCACGTCGTAATTATCTATATAATCCCCGACAATCTTGTTTGCCTTTGATATAGCGTTATTACATGCATGTGACACATTATGTGGACTGGCAAATGTATAATCTTCGAAATCACACTCGTTCATAATGGCAAGGCCGATCTCATCAGAGATCATTCCATGTGACCAATAGAATTCATATGATGCAGGGGTATCGCGGTCAAGTCTGAGAAGAGGATTGCCAATCTGATAGAATTAAACCACTTCCATTAAGTTAAAGAAACAGAGACACTCAATATGAATATTGGCTTGAGTGATATTTTCTTACTGCAACCCCTTTAATATTGAACTTGAACTCTTTAGAATGTTCGTTGTGGTCGAGAAGAGCAACAGCTAATTGTGGAATATAATGCCCTATGCATAAAATAATTATTCGTAAGTTTTACACAATTTATTAGAACACTGAGGTTACAGTAAAAAGGGTGCATAAAGTAATAGTTCAATATGTGGTAACAAAATGCATTTTCCAGGATCCATTTTCCCAGATAGATAAACAGACAATAGACAAATGATTCGATGGTGTATCACTGGCTCGACTTTAACTACTTACCTGCATAACTTTCTCCTGTCAGAAACAAAGCTCGGGTTTTGAATGTTGGAAACTTCTTGTACCACTCCATCATGAACATATGCATATCCATTGCTGCCAAGAAACAAGAAATGGAACTTTAATGGCATGTCATTCGGTAAAGTGGATTGGATTGTGTGAAGGACAGTACTACCGCGCATTGAATAATGCTTTTCAAAAGTAACTCCCCAGAAGTTTAATTTAACGTTACACACGCACAAAAACACGCACGTACATGCACAAACAAGAACAAGCAAGGCATGTGATTGATGCTCATTGCTTTTGCTACTTCCTTACCCGTGGACACATCACCACAAGTGTAGTCTGAGCTTGTATTTGAATACGACCATCCTACACCAGCAGGAGACTCAACAAAAAGCAGATTTGATGCTACAAAAATGAAGGGTGTAAATCAGTAAGTACATGGACATTAATCACGAAAAGAACAGTAAAAATTTATCCCATAATATTATTAACATATTGAGGCAAAGTTAAATAGTTGGATGCGCACCTTTATTCCATGATTTAGAATTCCTTCGCAGGGCTCGACCATTGCCTTTAGGAAAGAAGGGACCCAATTCGGTGAAGGCACCCCCACCTATTGATGAGCAACCTGGGCCTGAATACATAAGGTAAACCACAGATTTAGATGGCAATTCTGAGACTCACCTTGAGGCTAGGAAGAACGCCATCTGTCCCTTGAGGCATAAGCCTTAAGGGATAAGTTTGAAATTGAAACGCTTACAAACGCCCTTGCATTGAGGCTTATGCCTTCTAATATTTGGCTAAAGCTATGGTCTCAAGTAACCACAAAGGAAATAAAGAAAACATTTTTCAACAGGCTCCCTGTTGATCATTAGATATTCAGATGTTCTTAACTCTGTCTTGCTTCAATTTGGGACTTCATAACATTCAGCTGCGAATGCTGACTTCAAAATTCAAGCCTTTATTTAAGTTCTTTTCATTTGTTAACTTTCCTTATAGATGCTCGATTATGTTACAGCATAAGTGTGCTAAATTAGCCACCGATCCTTTACCCTCTTTAAGAGCCTGATTATACCATAGTCAACTTGATAGGAACACCTTTAGAGAATTCAACAACTAAATCAATTAAAACAAAATCTAAATGAAGATGCAACTTCATTTGTTCATCTGACCAAAAAAAAAGGGAAAAAAAAAGTGTAAGATGGTCAACTTCAAAAGAAGAGTTGAGTTCAAGTCTCACCACCACCCATTTAAAAAAATGAACATGTGGAAGCAATTACCCAGATTAAATTTTTTTTTATTTTGTAAAATGCGGTATCTGCATTTGCCTATATCAAGAAAATTAAGTATAACTTCTTGAAAAAAATTACCTCCATTGAGCCATAGAGTAAGGGGCTTATGATCAGGATCTTTCTCTGCTTCTACAAAATAGTAAAACAAGCTTCTCCCAGCCTTCAAATCCACATCTATATATCCTGCATACTGCCTGAACGTCACCTCCGGTTGGCCGGGCAATTTCACCACCAAGTCCTCATCCGGGAACCCATAACTACCGCCCACCACCACTCCCACCACCACAACCGCCGCCAAGATCCACTCAAATCCCATCTCAGCAAAAAAATAAATAAACTTCACCGAGACACGCTTTTACTCTTTTTAAGTACAATGAAACTAATGCAAATGCATGTATTATATATATAGGAGCAAAGGCAAGAGTGCATAAAGAAAAATGAATTTCAGTTTAAGAAAGGGCACGTGAATTCTGGGATATCTTTAACAAAAAGGCATGTCACTCCATTGATGACAATTGCTATATATAGACATACACACACAGAGTCACACACTATACAGTGTGACTGAATTATGAATAATGTGAGCAACTGAAGAATGCTGCAGATTTGTACCCAAGATTTGGTGGCATTTTTGGCTCTTATCTTTTCCTTTATATGAAAAAGAGTTTGTTACAGAAAGATAATGAATTTTTAATCTGTGTGTAGTGTGTGAAAACAGATAGAGAGATCTATTTGGGTGAGTATACAATAACTGCATGATGTAGGACCAGTCAAAAGAAGAAGAGAGGAAGAAGGTACTTCTTTCCGCAAAATAGTATTTGTTTGGTCCACACATTATCCACTGCCTTCCAAACCTAAGAACAAAGGTCCAAGTAACGACTCGACTTGACTCGACATGACACGACTCGACACGATTCAGGTATATCACGATGAATTAGATTTGACTAACGATTCAAAAAGAGTTAAATTTCATCAAAAATCATTAAACTTTTAGTGAAATCTCAATTCAGTTACTAAACTTTAATTTATCTCAACCGGATAATTATACTTCAATTTAGTTTTAAGATCATTTCTATGTCACGTTCCATGACTTATTGTTCCCTAAACGGACAAAAATTACTTAATTGATAATTATGCAATAACTGATTTTTCATGTAACTGCTACGTCTTGCCTAATAATGAAAATGGTAAACTAGGATTATAACACTTTTTTTAAAAAAAAAAATTAAAGGCCAAAATGTGTGTACCTTGTTATGTTGGTCGATCCAATCATGACATTGAAGGATGAGACCTTTTCTCTATAATCTCCGGATCCTGATAAGAGTTGAAAATGGTGCAATATCGAATCATGTTAGGGATGCTTCCAGAATTAACTTATACGATATGCGATTGATCAATTATGTTTCGGTCAACACAGCCAGTAAACACTTTTTACATGAATTTTGACATTTTTATGACGTGTCATATTGGTAAGTTGGCATTTTGCACAGAAATTAGTAGAAGATTGAGTAATTTCATAATCTTGAGGGGGAAAATGGAGTTTTTTTATTATTATTATTTTTTTAAATGTGTTGTTAAAAGTAGAGAAATTTTTCAGGTTAACGTGTAAAATATTTTATCGTGTGAACAAGTGGTTGAAAATGAGTATGAGAATTAAAGAGTTTTGTTTTAAAAGAAGACAAATATTGACTTATTATAGTAATTATTTAGTAATATGGGGAACTTAAGGTGGTAGAATTAAACATTGATGTACGAAGAAAGAATTTATTTTTTCTTTACTATTTCTTTTTCTTTTATAAGCAACCCATTAAAGGTCAATTTATTTAAATTGAAATTGGATTTGAGTTCTTGAGATTTGCATCCATAGAGTCAAATGAGTTACTGCTCAAAATCATGTTAAAAACTTGAGTAATTTAAAAGCATGTTTGGGATGACTCTATTCACCAATTGTGCGATTTATTTTGATGTGGACCACACATTGAAAACTTATTTTTGAGCATAAGTCACTCCATTCATGCTCGAGTTCATTCTACTTGAAAATACAAAGTGGTCTGAGTTTGATTACAAAGTTAGCGCAATTGGTCTTTTCTTATTCGGGCTTTTAATAACGCTCTTTTGACACTCTAATGACCTACATAAGATTGTGGTTTGATCCCTTGAAAAACTTTGATGCTTAAGTTGATAAAAAAATATTTATAAAATTGAAAAAAAAAATGAAAGTGCAAAGAAAATGTTTTTCATACCTAAAAGTGAAAAGAAGTTGGATTGAGGGATGAGATGGGGTGGGGTGGGGTTTAATTGTACTTAAATTGGACTTGCGTGTCACATCGACTAAAACTAATTGGACTTGTGCGTCACATCGACTCAAACTATGGATTTATTAAAAAAAAAAAAAAACTTCAATGTGATGAGATTGATGGTATGAGATTGGATAGAATGTGATATTTATCTAAATTTAGAATTTGTTATAACAAAATCCTTAATAGTTAGGATATGATAAGATTCCCTATCCTCAATTCCTCGCTATGACTAAATTGAATTCCAGTTATTCAATCAAAAATAAATTGAAATTTATCGATCCAATTGAGATAAATTAAAGATTAATAACTTAGTCGAAAATTCTCCAAAAGTCGGTGATCGCATATGAAATGTACACGACTTACTTATTTCCAATTCTACTCAATGAAAAAAAAAAAAAACTTATTTTAGAACTCAATTATAAGTAAAATTGAGCTTAGTCAAGTGGGAAGTATTATTTGAAAAACTAATTGGTACAAGATATTTTCATTATCTTGGTATTTTGTCTTCTAGTCAAAGTTCAATGCGATGCAATTCTTGTTGAAGATGATAAGGTTTGTTGGTCACAAAGGAAAAAAAATAATAATAATCTTTTGAGTGTGATTATAACAATTAGGAAAGTTTAGTTCACTAGCTTAGTGATATGAGCACAAGATGTCCATTATTCATTATATTGATTATTGCCCCGGAGATATTCGTCTGCTGCATTTTTCAATTCAATGTACCAAATATATTTTTATGTAATCGTATCAATATATTACTTGTGTTCGTCCTATGTCGACTTGACTGAATAGAATTACGTCACATCAAATTATATTTATTATTACTTAATTCTCGTCGTATATCAATCATGATTTTAGTAAGTGATAAAGAATTCAATGAATATGATATTTTGTATTGAAAAAAAAAAATCATGATTTTAGTAAGTGATGAAGAATTCAATGAATATGATATTTTGTACTGAAAAATATGCAATAATTTTTGTTTAGATTCTTGAACCAAACCATGAGATGTCAACCTCTTAATAATGGACTTTTAGTCCAACAAATCAGGAAGATCAAATATAATCCATGTAGGGGCTCCATTATTTCACATTATGGCGAGAGGAATTGTAATTTTTTGGAGAATATAAGGTTAAAAAAGAAGGAATTTTTTTTAGGTCTATGTGTATTGCTGGTGAAATTTCAAAAATACGAACACATTTTTCAATAAAATAATATTATACATAAACCCACAAACTTTTCATTCTTTTTTAACCAAGCGTTATCCAAAAAATTACTATTCCTCTCATTATAATTTGGAGTAATGGAGCCCAAACACCGGCAAATGTTACGGGTAAAATTTCAAAAAATACGAACCAAAATACATGTACAACAATAAATTAAGTCTTATTTCTATATGTTTGAAGTTGAGTATGTAAATCTTTTTTTGATGTTCTAGTTTCAAGTCTGTCAAATCGATATGAAGTTAGACATAGAGTGTGTTTGGTAGAGATTTTTGAAGGAAGAATTGATTTTTGAATAGTGTTATGATGGGAAATGTGTGGTTGAAAAAGAAGAAAAAATTATTGATGTGATGGAAAATATTATTTTATTGAAAAATGTGTGGTTGAAAATGAAAATTGATTTACTGTAGAAAATGAAAATATGTACCAAACAGACCCTTAA